GCCGGGCCGGGGCCGGGACGGGGCCGGGGGCGCACGACAGCCCGCGCGCACCCGGCCGGCGCGTCCACACAAAGCGGGGCGCGCGGAGCAGGGCCGCGCCGGGAGCCGCCCGCCGGCCCCGGGGCGCAGGGCGCGAGTGTGCGCGGGGCCGGGCCGCGCGCGGGACACAAAAGGGAATGGACGCGCGGGGGCGGCGGGCGGGGAGCCGCGGCCCCACCGAAGGGACCCCCGGCCGCCGAGCGGCCTCTACGTCAGCGCCCCGGGTGGCGCCGCCTCCGCCCGCCGGCCTGGGCCGCCGCTCCCGCCGAGGGAAGGCGGGCCGGGGACCGCGGGGAGAAGGCGGGCCGGGGGACCTGCCGGGGAGAAGGTGGGCCGGGGGACCCCTCTGGGCGAGAAGGTGGGCTGGGGGCCCTTCCTGGGAGAAGGTGGGCCGGGGGACCCCTCTGGGGGAGAAGGTGGGCTGGGGGCCCTTCCTGGGAGAAGGTGGGCCGGGGGACCCCTCTGGGGGAGAAGGAGGGCCGGGGGACACCTCCCGGGGCATGTGGACCGGGGAGGAGAGCGGGAGACCCCCCCCGAAGGAGAAGATGGGCCGGGACACCCCTCTGGAGGAGAAGGTCGTCCGGGGGACCTGCCAGAGAGAAGGTGGGCAGGGGGATCCCTTGGGGGAGAAGGTGGGCTGGGAGACCCGCAGGGGAGAAGGCGACCAGGACCCCTGCCAGGAGTAGGTGGGCCAGGGAGACCCCCTGTGGGGGAGGATGGATGAGGAACCAAGCCAGGACAAAGTGGGCTGGGTAATTGGGGGGGTGCAGGGAAAGTGGGGGGACCACCCGGAAAGAAGGTGGGCTGAGGGTACAGGGGTAGGCAGGCCCTGAGACCCTTGGGTGTGGGGTGAGACCCTCAGGATGTCCTTCCCGTTCAGATGGCCAAGGAACAACTACTTGGCTCCAACTCTCTTCTTACCCAGCAGACGGACAGGGGGCAACCGGGGTTTTCTGTTGCTTTTCCTCCCTGCTCCTTTTCCGGCTGGGTACAGCCAGCCCCCGCCGCCCCCCGCCCCCCACAGGATCCTTGACTCTCCTGATGCTCGGCCCCCAGAGGAGGACAGAATTCAGGGGAGCCAGGAGCGCACTGGCAAAGGTCAACTCTATAAAGAGAGAGTGATTATGTGGAATTGGAGCCCCACCCCCATCCCTGGTCAGAGCCCCCAGGCCTCCGGTCCCTGTCAGAACTGTGGCTCTAGGGCAGCAGGGGCTAGAGGGGTGGACAGGAGGTGCTGCTGCCTTGCTCTGGGCCCTGCAGCCTCAGCAGGGGGGTCAGGGTCTGGGGTGGGGGGCACTGAGGGCTCCTTCCTCCCAGCTGCATCCATGCTCCTCTGGGGGTGCCGGAGCAGAGTGGCCTCTGACGTGCAGTAGGGAGTACAGTACAGCTCTGCCCCCTGCTCCTGGGGGATGCTGGCCACCTGAAGCACGACCCCAGCCTGGACGGAAAGCCTGGTCCAGGCCACCCAGCTGCGGCAGCCCCGACAGGCAGGCGCTCACCTGAGCCCGCAGCCTCTCAGGGCCACCTGTCCCACTTGCAGGCAGCTCCGCTGAAGTGCTCCCTCCTCTTGAGCCAAAACCTGCCCTGGTGTGGCCAGCCCCCCTCCCCCAGCAGATGACCCCTGGACCGCAGCCCGGCAGTGCCCATGGCAGGGCCTTAGCTGGGAGGCACCAGCATGAGGAGTAAGAGTGGAGAAGACTCTGGGCGATGGTGGGGAGGCTGGGGGGGAGGGAGAAGCTCCCATCCCCCCCCAGCCCCGTGCTCAGCGCCTTCCTCCCTGAATTGCAGCTGTCACCCTCCCCTCTGGAGTCCTTCTCCCCAGACCTGGTGCGGACTCTGGGAAGCACTGTCCACCAGGAGCACCGTGGTCGAGTTAGTGCAGATGAACAGTGCTGAGTCTGCAGGGCGGCCCAGGGCACCGGCCCGGGCACTGCTGAGGGGCCGTCCCCTGCAGCAGTGCCTTGGTGCTCACACCAGCAGTGTCCACCTCCCCCCTTGGCGGTCCAGCAAGGCCAGAAGTTTCTGGAGGCCCCCGGGCTGCAGCCCCCCTCCCATACCTCCATTGTTTACAAACAAGGACAGCGTCACCAGCATTTAGCAAAGACTCACCAGAGGCTTGCTTAGTTCCTTGCACGCTCCAGCAGCAAACCCCCCCCCCCCCCGCCCGGCCACTGCCTGGGAAGCACGCAGCATCAGCCCTGGGCCGCCCCTGCTCCACAGACGGGTACCCAGATGGGCGTCATGCCACAGGACACTGAGGCTGGAAGCAGCCCAGTCCCTCCCGGAGGAGTTGGCCTGCTGGCAAGAGGGAGAAGCAGACCAGGAGCCCCCACTTCCCCGGGGCCTGAGTCCACTCCGGCCACACTGCCCTCCCCATCTGCACGTGTCCACTGCATCTGGAAGTGTCTGCAGAGATGCTCGAAGCTCTTCCAAAGCCGCAGGCCGACTACACACTAAAGTAAGCGTCCACGTGGGTCCCAAACCCTCCCTGTCCTCAACCTCCAGAAAGCCCTCCTCCCTCTCCTTCAGTTACTTAGATGCGCATCGAGCACCTGCTGTGTGCCCTGTTGTACCTCCTCTTGCTGTAAGGGGGAGAGTGACACATGCCCCACAGTGCCCTGGGGAGACCAGCGCTGGTGGGGGTGGGTGGGTGGGGACCTAGGGCCTCCTGAAGTGACCTGGGCTCAGAGGCCACGCAGAGAGGGAACGTGCATGGGGCCAGATGCAAGGACCCAGGAAGCAGGGGGCAGTGGCCTTGAGATGCAGGTGTCCCCTCTGGCCGCCCATTCATGCTCTGGCCCTTCCATGTGGTCTGCCCTTTGCCTCAACACCGACCGAGTCCATGCCATTCCTGGGGGCGCAGTCCACATAAGCATCAGGACCTCACCACCCACCCACATGGCCAGGCCTGCAGCAGGGCTAAGAGGGGGGCTCCCAGCAGCACGCACCCTGCAGCCAGCCTCGAAGGTGGGGCCCGTTTTATTCACCTTGTTACCCAGTGGAAACAGCATGTTTCAGGTCATGTTGATCCCCTCCCTCTCCAAAAAGTATACTGAAGGCTAGTGCAGGCTTTTCTTTTAATGGTAGTAACATACACAAGATAACATTTACCATTTTGATCATCTCTAAGTGCACAGCTCTGTGGCATTAAGTATGTTCACACTGTTGTGCAAGCATCACAGTGCCTCTCTGCAATTCTGGCCCCCCTAGCCCCACCCCCACCCCCTGATGCTCACCATTCTACTTCCTGTCTTCGCGAGCTTGACTGTTCTAGGGACCATGGGTTGGTGGACTCCTGCAGAGTTGGACCCTCTGTGACTGGCTTACATCACCTGGCACGGTGTCCTCCAGGTTCACCCGTGTTGTAGCCGGTGTCAGGATTCCCTTCCTTCTTAAGACTGAATACTATTCCATCCTACATAGAACCCACATTTGATTTGTCCGTTCATTGTCGAAGGACTCTTGAGTTGTTCCCACCTTTTGGCTGTTGTGAGTAATGCTGCTAAGAATGTGGGTGTGCAAATATCTGTTTGTGTCCCTGCTGCTACCTTTGTGTGTATACCCAGAAGTGGGATCGGTGAATCATAGTGTAGTTCTATTTCTAACTTTTTGAGGAACCTCCATACTGTTGTCCAGAGTGGCTGCACCAGTTTGCATGCCCACCAACAGTGCACGAGGGTTCCAATTTGACCATATCCAATTTGACCCCCAAAAGCAGGGTCAGCGTCCTGCTTTTGCACATGGAGATGCAGCTTTCCCAACGCCATGTGTTGAAAGCATAGTTCTCTCCCCATTAAATGGTCATTGCACCCTTGTCAGAATCATGTGACCGTGTGGGCAAGGGTTTTATTTCCAGGCTTTTTATTGTCTTTCATTGGTCTGCATGTCCAGGCTTATGCCACACTGTGTTGATTTCTGTAGCTTTGTAGTAAGTTTTAGAATCAGGAAGTGTGAGCCCTCCAACTCTGTGCTTTTTTCAGGATCATTTCAGTTCTTCTAGGTCCCTTACAACTCTATATGAATTTGATGATTGGCTTCTCCATTTCTGCAAAAAGGGCTATGATAATTTTGACAGGGATTGCATTGAATGTGTAGGTCATTTTGGGTAGTATTGCCATCTTAACAATGTTAATATTCTGATCCACGAACGTGGGATGTGTTTCCATTTATTTGTGCCTTATGCTTTCAGCGATGTTTCATAGTTTTCAGCTCACAAGTCTTTTGTCCCATTGCTGAAGTGTATTCCTAAGTATTTTTTTTTTTATGTTGTTGTAAATGGAATTGTGTTCCTAATTTCCTTTTGGGATTGTTTATTCTTAGTGTATGGAAACAAAACTGATTTTTGTGTGTTGGTTTAGTATTCTGCAACTTTGCTGAATTTATTACTTCTAATAGCATTTTGTGGAATCTTTAGAGTTCCTAATTCTTGATGATTGTACGTAAAAGCATGTCATTGGTGAACAGAAATTACTTCTTTCTGTCTAATTTAGATGCTGTTTGTTTGTTTTTTATTCGTGCCCAATTGCTCTGGCTAGAACTTCCAATACCGTGTTGAGTAGAAGTGGTAAAAGTGGCATCTTTCTCGTTTCTGATCTTAGGGGAAATGCTTTTTTTTTTTTTTTAAGATTTTATTTATTTGAGAGAGAGAATGAGAGAGAGAACACGAGAGGGGGTAGGGTCAGAGGGAGAAGCAGACTCCCCGCTGAGCAGGGAGCCCGACGCGGGACTTGATCTCGGGACTCCAAGATCATGACCTGAGCCGAAGGCAGTCGCTTAACCAACTGAGCCACCCAGGCACCCCAGTGCTTTTTTTTTTTTTTTTTTTTTACTTTTTCACCATTGAGTATGATGTTCACTTTGGGCTTTTTGATATGTGGCCTTACTATGGTGAAAAATTTCTTTCTATTCCTTGTTTGTTGAGTATTTTTATCATGATAGTGTGTTGAATTTTGTGAAGTGCTTTCTCTGCGTTGGTTGAGATGATCCCGTGGGCTTTCCCCCCTTCGTTCTATTAGTGTAGTGTCTCACCTGGATTGCTCTTGAGACTGAACCATCCGTGCATTCCAGGAACTAATTCCACTTGGTCGTGGTGTACCATCTTTCTAACTCACAGGTGTATGCAGTTTCCTGGTATTTTGCTGAGAATTTTGCATCAAGGTTCATGAGGGTTGTTTTTTTTTGTAGTTCTCTCTTCTCGTCAAGTCTTTGTCTGGCTTCGGTTATCAGGGCAATGCTGGCTTCAGAGGGAGTGTTAGGAAATGTTCTCTCCTCCTGAACATTTGGGAAGAATTTAAGGATTGGTATTGATTTTTCTCTAAATCCGTGATAGAATTCACCAGCAAAGCTTTTCTTTGCTGGGAGGCTTTTGATTACTGATTCAGTCTCTGTAATAGCTGCAGGTCTGTGAGATGTCCTGTTTCTTCATAATTCAGCTTTGGTGGGTTGTGTGTGTCGAAGAGTTTGCCCTTTCCATCCAGGCTGTCCATTGTGTCAGTGAGCAACAAGTGCAGGTCTTATGGCTGTGAACCAGGCAGACACGTCCCTCTGCTGCGGAGCTCATGTGCCAGAGCAGATGACAGACAATTAATAACAGTCTGGGGGGTGGGAGAAGTCAGAAAGGAGGTACTAGTTCAGGGTCAGAGGTGTGCTTTTGTTAACGTAGGAAGCCATCTGGTGAATGCCAAGAGAGTTCTAAGAGCAGGCCCTTGGGAGACCTGGACCAAACCGATCTGATCCAGAACCCACTGAAATGAACAGTGACCCATGGGGGACTTTGGAAACCTTCTGGGTTTTCCTGATACGTATGAGAGTGCCCTTCTTGTCTAGCATCTCTAGGATGGCCCTGTGATGTTTGGAAGCAGTGCGTTTGTAGACAAAAGCCCCTCAGCCCAGTGACTATCTAATTTACCATCCAAAAGGGCGCTGTTCGTAAAACACCAGAACAGGGCAAACGGGCTACTCTGGGAAAACCAGCCCCAGGTGACACATAACCCACACTTGGGTCGGTCAGGTCTGAAGAGCTGGATCTGCACAAATGCCAGGAGTGGACGTGGTGTGATGAGCCTGGGTGTGCTGCAGTGCAGCCAGGTGTGCTGCAGTGCTGCCAGGCTTGCTTCATGAGCTGCTGGTGTCTGCTGGGCACAGTGGACCACGGCCATCCCAGGCACCGCCCTGAAGCAGCTAGCACTCTGCCTGGGTAATTTCCACCCAGTCCCCAGGTTGTCCCTCCTGGAGTCCCCAAGATATCACCTGCACAGTCCAGCGCACAGCACAGGCTGAAGTGCCTGGTGCAGAGCCTGCTTTGGCCCATGGGCAGGTCCGTGGGGCCCCTGGCTGTGCTAGGGAAGCTGATGAGGAGAGGAGCAGAGGCCCAGCCAGCAGCAGCCAGGGGCCCTTGTGGTGAGGGCAAAGCAACCTCTGCAAGGCTCACTCCACCAAGTGGGGAGTAAGGAGCAAAGGGGAAAGGGCAGTAAATCAGGCATTGTCCAAAGAATTCACGGCAGAATAAGGTCGCAGGAGAAGAGAGCCACTCCTGAGGGGACCACATTGAGAGAGAGCTGGGGTCCTTGTGCCCGCCCACAGAGGGTGCTGAGAGGGCCCCTGTCAGGAGCCAGGAGGAGACAGATGGCAAGGAGGGGTGTCTGCAATTCCCTTTGTACTTGCAGGCGCTAACACGGGTGAGGGCACAAATGGTGAATTTGTTCTTAAAATGTTTGCCCTGGCCTGGGTTTTTAGATTCAAAAAAGCCAGGATATTAACAATCTGTTGATTGGAACATGGACAAACTGAGGGCACATTAAAGTACAAAGGAAATGTCACCCTCACAGACAACTGAAGCAATGCAGGTGAAAACCAGAAACCCACTTTCCTGTCCCACTGGCCAAGAGCGGGGCAGGTCAGTGCTGAGGACCAAGACACCCTTCCTTCCTTGTCCCTCCCCTTGGCTTTCCTTCCAGGGAGAAGCTAATTCCCTGGCAGGGTGTGTGCGCCCACCTGGATACTGCTCCTCATCTCCCAAGTGCCAGCAGCACCCAAGAACCCTGTGCGGTGGCTTCTCCCCTCATCAGTGGGTTCTCTCTATCCACTGATGCCTGCCCTGGACCTGAGCCCGACCTTGCTCTGCAGACCACCCCCGTCCCCAGCCCCAGCAGCCCTCCCTGCCACACGCCTGTGACCCTGGGTTATGTTCCTTGTGTTCTTATCTGATACAGCCTCATGTACACACATCTATACTGTACCCCGAAACAGAAGTGCCATGAAGGGGTGGCCCCTGCCGCTGAGTCTGGAACACTTGTACAGCCACTGTGTGGGGCCTGGGTCACAGCAGAATGCAGTGGTGGGAAGACACTGCGCTGGTACTGGGTGCAGTGCTGGGCACAGTGGTGCTGGGTAT